CTGAAGACCCAGATAAAGTGTATGTAAGCACCCACAGGATTTGCCTCCTCAAGTGGAATGCTGTTAGACAATATTATATCTAAAACCAAATTCAACCCAGGGTTTATCTTCCCACTGCCAAGAAAGGCTATATTTCAAAGTTGTTGATACCTGAAAATATTCCCCTGGCCAATTTGCTTTGTAAATGGGGTAAATATGTGTTTTATTTTGCAATGGGGTGATTATAATCATTGGAATAGTGAAATTCCACAAGCACACTGAGAGCAAATATTTGATTCACAATGTTGCTATTATATCAGCAACCAGTATTTTATCAGTTTTGTCAGCAATGGTGCCCTAAAGTAGTCTGATGTAAGACCAATGAAAAGGCAGAATACAAGAGGTTATGTTACTGCCTGCATGTAATACCGTTTGGGTTTTTTTCTTTCCATTTCAGGTTTTTCTAAAATATTACCATATAGAGCAGTTAAATTTGTTCCTGCGAGAAGTTATAGGGAGGGTGGTGGTCATGCAAGCCTATATCAAGGGATGGCTTGGAGCAAGGAGGTACAAGAAAGTCAAAGAGAAAAGAGAAAATAGTGCTGTTACCATACAGTCAGGTAAATGTTCACATTCCCTATTTCATTGAATGTCTTTGCATTTCAAGCTGTTAAATTGCATGTACATTATTTATTCATTCATAGTAGTTTATTATGAAATCAAAATAACCGGAGGTGCTTTTCTCTCCAGTTAATTGATGCAAATATTATTGATTTACTTCTAAGGTGTCATCTTAGTATTTGGTAATGTCTTTATTGAAATATTTTAGTATTTTGGATGTGATGCCTGTGCACAAAATGAAAATATTGTTAGGTATGTCTACACGAGCATGCAGCACATAAATGAAATGCAGTAGCATGCCCCCGCCGCACATGTATACCAGAATTCCAGATAATGTACATCGTGGGGTGAGCCTGAGATGCTGATTATCAGTAATTTAGCAGGCTTCCTTATATCGAATTTGGGGAGCTGTGTGAGGAGGGGAGTTCTTGTGATGACATGATCGTGCACCTTTGCCTTTTGGGTTAGGACATCAGTGAGCACATGGTGACAATTAAAATTTGGACGAGTGAAGCAGTGTTTGAAGTTGTGGGGATGTGAATACTGCAGTCGTGAACCCAGAGTTCAACATCTGGGTGGGTGGGGAAGAGGTATTGGGGTTGGGGGCTGGAGTGGTTACGGCAGGAGGGATGAAAGTTTCAGCACATCTCTGACTCTGTAGACTCTCTAGCACTTCCTTAAATAAATGTAATTTCCAGCACATGGTTTTGTATTTTTAGCCTGGAGAGGATATGAAGCTCGCAGGAAGTACAAGGAAATAAGGAACAGAAGAACTGATGCCGCTATACATATTCAAGCAGGTAATTAAAACATTATTTCAATTGCCAACACCTATTTTGCTGTGGGTGATTTCATGTGTCAGCGTTTATAGCTGAGAGAAATACATACAGTCCAAACAAAAGCTATCAAAAACATTACTTCTGATCATTTGTTCTTCAGTATCAAATGACATCAGTGACAGGTATCACGCACTTTGGGCTTTTTGTAAGTACTTCTATGGAAGCAAAACATACTGATTAAAAGCTGTTGAGTTAATTCTTTAAGATTCTTCTGAGCACAGTCAGTATGATTCAACTGTATGTAGAGCTGGTATGAAGCACTGGATTGATTTGACTAAAAGTGTGGATGGGAGGCACTGGACATGCATTTCTCTGTGTTGAGCCCTGATCTTGGCAGGTTGCCAGGTTTTTGTTTTGACTGCTTGCTGTGTTTGCCAGCTTTGGCCAATCTTTTGACTCTCTGCCAGACTCCTATGCAGCCATATCAATATGAATTTGAATAAACTTTAAAGAGATTATTGGAGGAACAGGCCCATAGGGCTGTGTAGGTCTCTAGTAGAGAGCAGGGTACCATATGGCACAGAAATCTAAGAACCAGTGCCGTGAACTCAATGGTGTTTTCAGATGCTGCCAATATGAAGCAGCCCCCATATGATGCAGTATAATACACCTTCCCTGTCCAACCCTAGGTTGAAAGACTGTAACCGATCAAAAATGAGTTGTAGCAAATGTGTTTACAGATAAACCAAGGTACCACCTTTATTTTGCCAGCTTCCTGTGCTATAATTCCTTAAGCTTTGTCCCCTCTCTCTTCTGTATTATATAGTCTAAAGTCAATCTGAAAAAGATGTGTTCTCAGTATTCTTTGTTCTCAAGCCATTTCCAGTAAATTAATTTGTTCTTCTTTTGTCTAAGTTTGCTACTCTGAAATTAAGCATCACTGTGACTTTCAGCAGAAAACAGAATACCAGTCTAGTTACAGAAAGGAACAGAGCATCATTAGGATAAAATAACAATTTATAGCTTTGCATGCATACTGTTATGTAGAATCATGACCTATAGCTCTAGGGTCAAATGCAGAATATTCTATTAAATGGAGAATTGTTAAGGAGAAATTTTTTTCTCCCATTACAACAAGCACTGAAGGACTGCATAAGCACTCTCTCCCTTTCTTCCTCTCCTTTGTGTTGTCATTTTCTATTGTTTTCATGGCAGCACAGAGAGCAGATCTTAAAGTACTCCCTGCAACTATTTTCTGGACTATTTGCTACAATTACACTTGGCCATACCTGGACTTTGATTTCCTCACTTACAACAGCCTTTTGCTGTAAAAAGGGAAGTGAAGCAGTTGACCCATCACTGTCCCACTGTTACCAGTTCCTTAAGATGAGAGTTATCTCAAGTTCAGTAGGAAGCTGGTGTGTAGCAGTATCACTTGAAGACTGTAGGGGACATTTTGCGTTAGAGTTTTATCCACCCAGATTTCTTAGGTATGTAGGAGATGCATGCTCATTACTAGCTCTTTAGAGAAAGCAACTGACCAATTCTGATGTTTGCACACATGGAAAGGATTCAGAACATTGTTCCTTCCTGCCATCTCTTACATGCTGTGTTGAACATGGCAGAGCAGAGCCAGTGGGAGTGTACGCATACCCTTGAATCTGGACACTTCTGTTGAGCCCTCTGGACCTAATGCTGGAGGAATGATGTTAGCACTCTTCCCACCAACACACACACTGTCTTCTTTTGTAACCTGGCACTTGACAGTTTCAGTGATCAGTCTGGGTGAATAAGCATTAGGACTACAGGGTTAAGAGTGACACAGTGTACCTTTGTATTAATTAGGCTGTCTGCTCCTCCTATCTTTGGCACTGCATTGGAAGGGGTACAATAATAATAATAATAATCCTGAACACATTTCTGTCTGCCTTTGGAAACACATATCTAGGACTTCTTATTTGAAAATTATTCTTGTGCACATTTTTTCTTCTCTACATGCTAATTATTCTGTGTTTCAAATCAAAGCTCATGCTTGCTAATGGTGGCCATTTTCCAGGTTTTAAAATACACTGACAGTCTTTTTGTTGTTTACATTACACTGTCCAAGTGCCTAGTGACATGGAGACAAAAGCAACTCCAAATCTCTCCCTTCCCTGCACATCTTATAATGTGAGTGTGTAGTTCAAGGCAGCTTTTCAGTAAATGGAGTATGATCACCTTTGTATTTTTTTTTTTTAAATGAGCCATTTCAGGCAGTGAGATAGATAGTTTGCATTTGTCATCCAGACATTAGCAAAACCATATAATTAAAATATATGTACTTCCCTCTCCTTTCCCTCCCCGCCCCCCACTCAAGCAGGCCTTGAAATTTAGGAAGCATTTGGCTTACATGTTTCTACAGAACAGCGCATATTGAAATTTGTTTTCCTTTCATCTCTTTCCCAATAAAAGCAGCCGCTCGGCTTATCCCTTTAGCTTCCTCAGAACTTCCTTTCAGAATTCCCGATCTATTACAGCACATTCACATACCAGAAACAAGATGCCTTTTCATGCTGTCAACCTTTTTCATCTGAAATGTAAATTAATTCTTGCTGGTACGCTTTGACAGAGATCAAAGTAGGGGTATTAACCTTATTGGGCCTTCTCTTCATCAGAATCAGTTCCAAAGACTGCGAGGGTAGTGTTAGGAGGCCAGTCTTCACTGTTATCTGTGGCCCTCCTCCAGGCAGTCCTCTGTCTACAAGTCAGCATTTCAAAGGCACTGATTTCTTTTGTAAATGACCTTATCATTACTTTAAACTGTGTGAAAAATGATTTGCCTGAATAATTCTTGCAGGATTATTCTGCTCATTTTAATTGTGGGGGGACTTCATTCAGATTCCAGGATATTGTTTAAGTGGTTTTGACAGCAAGTGATCATAGCCTGATATAAAGGAGGAACACAGCTCCTGATTGGAAACCTCTTGACTTGTTCAGATTGTTCATTTCTTGCAAGTCAGTCTTTGAGGTAGGCTGCATTTGCATTTTAAAAATAAACAGATGCCTTTCAAATACATGAGCTGGTGGTCTGGAGATCTCTGTGGGCCCAGCAGTTCACTATCCATTGAAGAAATGTTGGAAGAAAAAACAAACTTAGAAAAAGAAAAAGAACCCTCACAATATACATGAGGATACAACTCCTGAGTGTATTATATTACATGAAAAACAGTCATTATTTCAGATGGGGAAAAACACCCTTGCTAGGAAACAAAATATTTGTGAATTTAAATTAGGTGGGGAAGAAAAAGCTACCCTACTTCAGCATATCTACATCACAAGTTCTCAGAATACACAGATGTTATTAGACTCATGGCTAAAATGGTACACAGGGTACACAAGGTCTTTCCTACTTCTTCCAGTCACACTTTCCCAAACTGTGAAGGTTAGAAAATGCTAATGTTTAACTTAGAGACGAATTGTAAAGAATGACTTCGTGTAAAGTGTTTGAGTTAACAATACTTTGCACTTCTAAGTATTTCTTTGTAATTGGGATTTGTATTGTTTTGATTTACATCTACGTGAAAGGAAAAATATTTTGTTAAAATAAAGATTTTTTAAAAATTGTGTTGCCGGATTCACAGCTGGTTCAAATCAGTGTGTATCCACTGAATCATCTGACTGAAGTGTTGCTGCACTGATTTACCTCACATGCAAGTCTCATTTAATGTTTCTTTGTGTTAGAATAATGCATTAATTAGAATTTAAAAAACAGATAATACAATTATAAAAGTACATTTTCTAGTTATGATAGCATGTATTTCCATGCAGTGTGACTGTTGTCCCGAAAGACTTAAGGAAGGATTTTAATCTGGTTATTTCATTTGTGAACTGACATTGCCAAAATGCCAAGTGAGTGGTGCATGCGATTCACTTAGATCTGAGGTGACATCACTGAATTCATTTTAATTAGGCCCACTTTAGCCATCTGGAATATACTGTGCAGCTCTGGTCAGGACTGAGTTTAACTATGCTTCCAGAGGTGAAAGGCAAATGACTAATCCATTGAGCCACCATCTCCTCCTCCAACACGTGCTCGCACACTCACCATATGTCACATTGTATTGGAAAATTCTTTATCAAGAACTCAAGATTTGGACTCTTTTTTTAAAATAAGAAGTGATGGATGTTCAGAAGGAAACCAGATGAAGCATCCCTTTGTAAATTGCTTTCTTTCTGTAACTTCTGCCCATCCAGTGTTGCTCACTATTTATGTATCTCTAACATGTGCTTCTGGCAAAATTTACTCCATTATAATAAAAAAAGAGGGCCTGAGAACAGCTGTAATTTACTCTTTTACATTTATAATAAATGTAAGCTTTTAATAGGAGTGTTACCTTTGGGATTTTCAACAGGAAAGATTTAATGTTGGCTTCAACAGAAGAAAAGGAAGTATTTCCTGAAAACCCTATATTTATCCGTCTGTTTATATCACTATGTACATGTGTGTGTACATGTATTCAGCTAATGCTGTTGTATAGATCTAAGAATTACGAATAAAATGTTCCAAAAACTTTTAAGCACTTTATAAATATATCTAAAAATATATATTTTTTAATTTTCCTGAAAATAACAACCCCTAAGTAGCAGATCCAGTTTTACTTTCTTATATCATTAATTTTCTTCCTTTTAACTACATTGTCAGTGTAAGAACCATTGAAGAGACGTATGTGTTTTTCTTAATGCCAGCTGAACTGGCTCATTGTATTCCCTTGATTTCACGTTCAGGGTAAACCAGATTGGTTTGTACAGGCTGCACAGCTTTAGTTAACTTTACTCTTCCATCTCTTTGTGTTCTGTACTAGCTTAGGACATCCAGTAATTCTTCACTTTTAGTGTCTTATCTCCAGTAACCATTAAAAGCCTGCGGCTCGTGTGCAGGGAACACGTTAGGAAAAGTGAGAAGGCCTTATGGTTTTGAAGTATGAGGTCCGATATTCTCTCCCCATCTCTGAGCTAAGCTCTGTCGATGTGAATATGTCTGCATTCCCTT